TTATAACGTTTTAAATTCTGGTTATTGCTACATTTAGTGTGGGCATATGTAATTTTGTGTGTATGTGTGTGTGTATGAGTGTGAGAGAGAGAGAGAATACATGTGCATGGCTGATTCATCTTCTTAGTCCTTGTGCTTGCTTTTGATGAGAACAGACTCATCAGCTTTTTACCCAGCAGTCTCTGCTGGGATGTTGTGTAAGGCAGATGGCTTACATTTCTCTTATCTCTTACTGATGCTAACTCACAGAGCAAAACTTAGCTGGATGTATCATAGGTTGTGAGCGGATCATTCTCACGGTTTAGAGAAGAATGGTTGTCTGACCTTAGACCCGAAGAGTTCTCTTGTTCTTTTTAAGCCATCAGGGCATAGTTGTGTCAGGAAAAAAAAAAAAACCCACTGCGGTTCGCTCAACTGGTCTTTTTCTCAAGTAAAAGGTTATAAATTCTTAGATCAGTTTTTGAAATTTGAAGAACTACTGTGTTTTTCTAAATTTCTAAATTTACTTAAATACAGATGTTCAAGTTATTCCTATTTTTTTCTGCACAGTGCCTGCTGGGCCTGTGGTATTGCTCTTGACGCTGTGATGTCCTTCTCTTGCCTGTTCGGCTGGTAGGAGTTTCCTCAGTTCTTTTGCAGTTTTGAATAGTTACTGTTTAATTTGCTTAATAGTTTTTTGTTGTTTTCCCATATCATTAGTTTTCACCCTTGTTGTCACTCTGCTACTTCAACTCCTGTTGTTTCTTTTCTCTTTCTCTGACTTCCTTGTGTGTAAGAACTTGTTGGCTTGAGTCCTTCCTAGGTAAACGGTCGTTGCTGTGACTCTACCATGCCCACTAGGTCATCGTGCCATCTGTTCTGATTTGTCTTCATTTGCCTCCATGTGTCTGTCAATCTTTTAGGCCTTTCCTTTGATCTGTGGGTTACTTCACAATGTGTTTTTCAATGACCTTGCTTAGTCTCACAGTTCCTTCATATTTCTATTAGTTTGCGGTTAGATTATTATCAGACAACATGGAGGATTTCATGTTCTTGATGAGGGAAATTTTAGTAGTAGTATTGAAGAAAATTTAAAATCACCTAAAGCCTGCCCTATACTGTTTTTTTTATAGTGGATGCTTTCTCAAATAAATTAACGTCAAATATTTAACATCCTTGGAGGCTAAGCTCATATTTCCAATATAGAAATGTGAGAACATTGAGACACTGGTTTGGGAAGACTGTGTTTGTGTTTAGTGTTTTCTTTTTCCCTTTTTTCCTATTGCTCACTTGATATTGCTCCCCTAGTCTTCCCATGATTGCTTTTCATCTTTCTCATGAGATATAGGACAGAAAAAATAGCCCAGGAATTATATTCCTTATGTTAAACTCAGCTAAATATCTTCAAGCAAAACAATTAACATATCCTTTCATTTCTAAGCCTGTCAGTTAGCATAGAGACTTCATTCCTGGGGAGTGTTTTTTAACTTGGTGGTAGCAAATGTTTCCAACATCGCCATCACACTGACATGATGCTAGCTAACAGCTATGCCACCCCATTAGCTCCATGACTCTGCTAGCATTGGCATCTTAGAGTTGTGCAATAATTTTATCAGACATCAACGTTCGTGGTTGAAAATCTTGTTCTTCCTCATGGCTGTGAAGGACAGGAGAGAAATGTGAGGTCTAAATGCCCATTACCCTTTCTGCTTCAGGCCCTTTTCTACTTCAATATCAGATTTTTACATGGAAAAAAAAATGTTTGAAACCCACAATGGTCTATATTAAAAACTACTGAATGCTGCATATGAATATTAAGGAAAGGTTTGTGTAGATCACTCCTTTCACCAATATTCCAAATACTGTCCCTTCCAACATGTTTATTTTATTCTGGTTATTATTTTGCATATATGGCCTTTTTGGGAAAAAGGATGTTTTTCTTGACATTAAACGATAAAACAAAATGCTCAGGTATGCAGTTGGGCCTATGATGAATTTTGATTTCAGTCCTCACACTAATAACTTCCACTCTCTACTTCCACATGTTTTCATTAAACAAAACTTCATCTGATGATTTAGACCCAGGATGGCTCTTGTTTTTTTAAGGGTTTTTTGTTTTGTTTTGTTTTTAAGACAGGGGTTTTTTTTGTTTGTTTGTTTTTGTTTTGTTTTTGTGTAGCCCTGGCTATTCTGGAACTTGCTCTGTAGACCAGGATGACCTCAAACTCAGAGATTCTCCTAAGGTCCACCTGCCTCTCCAATCCTAGTGCTGGGATTAAAGCCCTTTTCAATGGCATCTAATAGTTTAATATTTTTGATCTTTACACTTCTTATGCAAGCATTCTCTTCTTTCTGGTTTCCTTCTTCCATTCTTCTGCCTTCTCTCTTCTCCTACATGTTTGCAAACATAGAGTTTTCAGTCCAGTCATTAGCTATACTTGGCTTTGGGCAGTAGAAAAAGTCAGGGATCAGGGAGCAGACATAACAGATTTTTTTTTTTTTTTTTAAAGCTGGGTTGCTCTCATTAGAATGTAAGGAGTCTACTGCTGTATCTCCTCTACATGCCTCTTCCTTTGGGGGCTCAGGGGGGCTGTTCAGGCAGGGCGTTGCTTTTTGGCCCCATCTCCTGACTCGGCCTCTCGTGTACTGACATGATGTAAACATGCTGTCCATCCAGCCTGTCAGGTGTTACTGTCCCTCACTTCATTGCTTTTTTATCGCTGTTTCCTTGGCCATTATTTTAGAGTTCAAAGTATTAGTATCCCTACTATTAATTTTTTTTTTTTTTAAATCAGGAAACCTGATACTTTCCCAGAATTCTGCAGCCCAGGCTGATTTTGTCTCATAGGTCATACTGGACACCCGTGTAAGAGGAATGCACGGCAGGCAGTTACCAAGTGTCTGCCATGGTAGGTGAGACAGTGAAGGCTCGAGATGGCACAGACAGGCCACTCACTTGTTCTGTCTGTGAAGTCACTACCACAATGAAAGCACAGAGAGGTTTTGACGAGATTTTGATGTCATATAACATAAGTATATAAGTGTATAGAGGCATCATGTGTTAATATGCACATTTTTATATATCAGAAAGTAAATATTCTTAATAGAATACTTTCTCTAACTCAGGCCCCTTTCTTCTTTAGGTGGAGGGTTGTAAGTTAGTGTTTTTATTTTGTTTTGTTTTGGTTGTGGTCGTTTTGAGGTAGAATATCACTATACAGCTACGGAATGAAATGGAACTAGCTAAGTAGACAAGACTAGATTAGGATTAATGATATGTGCCACCATATCCAACATAATTTTATTTATTTAGAAATATTTTTAATATTTTAAAAATATTTTAATATTTTTAAATAGTAAAGTTTTGAATAAAATTGGAGGGAGTACTATTTTAACATAGATGTGCTATTTTAATTTCTGACTGTATTACTGACTGTAGATCAATAATAAGGTCATTATCTGAGTATTACAAAAATAAAGATATTTTTGTTTTTCTTGTATCTGTCGCCTCCTCCAGCACTACTTGAGTTGTGGCTCTTACAAATAAGTTAGATTAATGCTTAATATACTAAAATTAGAACTGTCTTAGTCAGATTTTTTTGTTTTAAAATAACTTTAAATTAAAATTTGAGGTAGGTTAGAAGCTTTAAATAACTTTAAATTAAAATTTGAGATAGAAGTGTTTGAGATTTTATTTTTTACATTTTTAATTGGTTTATTATTTATTATAATTTATTCACTTTGTATCCCAGCTGTAACCCCTTCCCTCATCTCCCTCCAGTCCCTCCTTTCTTCACTCTTCTTCCCTTGTGCCCCTTCCTAGTATCTGATACTAGCCTTTCAGGTCTCTTCAGGAATGGCTGCATGCTCTTCCTCTGTGTCCTGGCGAGGCTTCCCCACCCCTCCAGGGGGAGGTGATCAGAGAGCTGGCAAATGAATCCGTGTCCTCTTCTCTACATTTTAAATGCCGGAATGTAATAGCAGGACATCTGTTCTCTTGTTTTACATGTTCCTCCAATTTGATATTTTTTTTTGTGAGTTAAATGCAATTTTAACATTTGTATTAAATGTTGGATAGTCATTTATTAACTCTTTGCATATTTTGTGTTCCATACAGATATTTTTGGCTTCATGGAATGTGGATTGGCTAAAGTTAGACTCTTAAATCAGTGTAATATGTAAAATAAATTACTCATTTCCCAGAAGTATATACATCAGTTAAAATGAACTGTAATACAATTGCAATTTGTGTTAAGGAACAAATACATACTGTTGTTTGATAGTCCACTTTCATGTTGTTACAGTGTGAGAAATGGTAGCTCAAAGGAAAACTGAGCACATAGACCCAAAGGCTTTTTCTGCCTAGGTCATAACTGTTTCGATTTTCTTTTCTTTTCACTGTGTAGCTTTGGCTGGCCTGGAACTGTCAGTGTAGACTAGGCTCATCTTACCTGCTTGGCCATTGGTGTGTTGGAATATTATGAATGGATGGAATATCCAGTCAAACTTAATTCTAGTTGTGATCTGAGGTGAAAAGGAGCCTGGGTGCACCCAGAATTTACCTTTCTTTAAGCCAAGTCATGTCTAAAAATTAAAGAAAAGTTTATTTAATTATTTTTAGAGTCATGTTTTTATGTGGTACGTAGTTATATGTCATGCAGTAAGAAATGCTCAGATCATAGTCATCCCCGGATATTGGATTTCTAAGTGTCTCTGAGTTGTTTTTCTCATTGTTGTGATGAAATACCGCAAGAAGCAACTCATCAAGTGTTTGTCTTGGCTGACAGTTGCGGGTAGGCAGAGTCCTTGGTGGGAAAGGCAGATCAGCAGGAGTGTGATGTGGCCGGTCATACTGTGACCTCAGAGGTCGCAGAGACGTGAGCGCCTGCTTCACTCCTCTTCTGTTCATGCAGTCTGCACCTCAGAATGGTGCTGCCCACACTCCCAATCTCCCTGCCTCTGTCAAACCTCCCTGGGGACGCCCTCCCAGCCACAGTCTGCGATGTGTCCCGTCATGTTAGAGCGAGGACGCGCCGTCACACCCTGGAGTGCAACACGTCTATTTGCTGTGGGCTTTTCAGAGGAACTTTCATGTCACTAGCCTCTTGAGCTGCCTCATCGCAGATCTTCCTGTGAGAGCTTTCAGTGAAGTGTGGGCACACGGATGGCACACATGCGCACTAGAGAATCCTCTGAACTACAGCAACACCAGCTCATGACCGGAGCGACCTTACCTCTTTAATGTAGAGTTCTGAGAAGTCTTGTGCTTTCATTTCCTCAGTGATCACAATGACGGCAGGGTCGCCATCCTTTTAAAAGCCATATCTTCCTGTTTTCCCTGTGTTATTGTAAGCGCTATAGACGCCCTCTTATTGTCATCTTCTATAGAGCCGAGACAGTACTCTCTGCCCTGTTACAGTTCGCTAAATCCAAGCGTGCTGACCTGTACTCATGGGCATGTCCATTCCCTGTTGCATTTTCATAGCCTTTGCTGTGGGGCTTGTTTTGTTGTTCTGAGATGGGGGGTCTCAAGTGTGTAGACGAGATCTCACATTCTGCAGCTCTTCCCAGTGCTGGAATCACAGTCATGGACCACCGTGCTTAATTCTGAATATCATTTAGCAATGTGGTCCAGAGCACATACCATTTGTCTCCTGTTAGTCTCTGAGTTTCATATAACAGTACATAGTGACTTTTTTTTCATTTACAGAAATGTTGTTTTCTAAATTTCCAACGACTCATGATCTGTTTTCAGAGATGGAACCAAAGTTGTTACTGTAAAAACAGGCATCTCTAAGGAATACTTTACCTTTTAAACTCATGTGTTGGATTTAAAGTTTTAAGTCTTGATTTGTAGCGCTGGGTGGCTTTGGAACGGCAGCAATCCTTCTGCCTCAATTTCTGAGCACCACCCACACCTAACTGTGTTGATGTATCTTATTTTGAATCATAAGACATCCCAGCCCTGCCCTTTGTTTTGTTTTATTTGATGAGACAAGGACTGGTGTCTCCTGAAAGCCATATCCACTATCCACGTTCCTTTCTCTCTTCATTCCTCGTATGCAGTGTGAGTGGCCCTGAGCATTAAGTAAGTGACTGAAATAGTAAATATGAGTGCAATTTCTAATAGACAGGGTAGTGAGGGTTTTTTTTGTTGTTGTTTTTTTTTTTT